GGGAGGGCGTTCTCCTGGAACTTTCTATCTGGGCCCACATTCCCGATCCCAGCACAACACAGTGTCCCCGCTGACCCGGGTATTTCTCTCCCTGTCTCTGTCAGTATTTTTACGGGTATTTCTGTTTACCCTCCTCTCCCTTTTTCACCTTTTCTCTGTTCATTGCCGCCTCCGCCATCTCCTTTCGGGACGCCGACGATCGTCAACGGGGCAAGCGTGACCTCCCACACCTTGATGGCGCCCCCTGTGGCAGGGAGGACCGGCTGAGGTAATCTCCCTGAAGTGCACCTCCCAGCGGTGAGGGAGCAGCAGCATGAACAGCTCCATGAACAGCGCCGCCTGGCGGCCTGGAGGTGATTCTCCAGGAGCAGTGCGCAATTCACCACAAGTCCCTACTCAAATACCTCAAAAAACATAGATACATAGTAGATAGGAGCAGGCGGAGGCCATTCAACACCTCAAACCTGCTCCGCCATTCTTCATGATCATGACTGATAATCCAACTCAATAGCCTAATCCTGCTTGCTCCCCCTAACCTTTGATCCCATTCGCCCGAAGTGCTATATCTAGTTACCTCTTGAATACATTCAATGTTTTGGCATCAACTACTTCCTGTGGTAATGAATTCCACAGGCTCACCATTCTTTGGGTGAAGAAATGTCTCCTCATCTTTATCCTAACCCATCTACCCTGAATGCTCATACTGTGACCCCTGGTTCTAGGCACACCCACCATCGGGACCATCCTCCCTACATCTACTCTGTCCAGCCCTGTTAGAATTTTATAAGTCTGTATGAGATTCCCCCTCATCCATCTGCACTCCAGCGAAAACAATCCCAACCGAGTCAATCTCTCATACGTCAGACCCACCATTCCCGGAATCAGCTTGGTAAACCTTCACTGCACTCCCTTGAGAGCAAGAGCATCCTTCCTGAGAAAAGGAGACCAAAACTGCACACAATATACTAAGTGTGGCCTCACCAAGGCCCTGTACAGCTGCAACAACACATCCCTGCTCCTGTACTCGAAACCTCTCGCAATGAAGGGTAACATGCCATTTACCTTCTTTCATCTGCAAGGACAAGGGCAACAGCAGGTACTTGGGAACACCATCCCCTGTAAGTTTCCCTCCAAGCCTCTCACCATCCTGACTTAAGAACATATTGCTATTCCTTCAGTGACATTGGGTTAAGATCCTGAAATTCCCTCCCTAAGGGCATTGTGGGTCAACCTACAGCACATGGACTGCAGCGGTTCAAGAAGGCAGCTCACCACCTTCTCACATCTCCTAAATTAGAACATGTAAAATAAAAGCCAAGAAGCTTGAGGATCTGATGGCGCTGACGATGAAAGAAATAGAGTTAATGTTTCAAATTCAGCAAGACTCTCCAGACCTGAGGATGCTTTGACAGGAAAATGGAGAAACTCAGCACAGGTTCAATTGACTCCAACTGATTCCCACAGAATCCGACAGGAGAAGCATCAACTCTAGCAGGTTCTCAATCTGATGCTATTAACGCTACCAGAGTCTGTAAATCCCACTGACTCCTGCAGTGGTCAGTCTATCTACAAGGCCCATTGATTCCTGCAGGGTCAGTTTATCTGCCCTAAGATGATAGGAAACTGGAGCAGGAGTAGGCCATTCAGTCCCTCAAACCTGCTACACCATTCAACACTATTATAATCTGGTGTCTCAGCTCCTGCGATTTGGCTCAAGATATTCTAGGACAAGTTTATCTTTTCTTGGACAGTAAAGACTCCAGCAGGTTCCCTTTCAATCATGATTGGAACATTCCTGAGGGTGGGATTTGTTCCACAGGGATGAATAGTGGAAGTGGCCATGTTTGGAAGCAGCTTTCAAAATCCATAAATAAATACATGTGTAAAACATTACAAAGCTTATTAGCTACCAAAACAAAAATCAGAAAACCTCCTTCAGCAACTGGAGGGTCTGTGTGTATGCAAATATCAATAAAAACATTTATTTTGTCCAAACAGCATTTAAGAATGATCAGGTAGAGATTAGATTACAGAGGGAGAGAGACATGCACAGACAGGGCTGAGGAGGATTTCCGAATAACTATTTACAAAACTCGGAGAAACACCAGACCCACAGAAGAGGTGTACAGTGCCCAATCAGAGCCCCAAACGTGATGCTGCTCTGTCCCATCGTGAGGGAACTGCTGGAGATGATGGGTCCAACAGTCAGCAGAGGGTGTGACCAATGATCAGAGCTGCACCGTCCCAGTCACTCAGTGCCCACAAGGGTAGGACAGGAAGCTCTCAGTCCTGAGCAAGTGCTCAATGCCCCATTTCACATCTCGTCGGCGTGCCCAGGTTTAACCGAGAGGGCATTCCCTGATTCCCAGCTCGAGGCTGGGGGCATGTCTGTCCGTGGTTCTTGCTGGAGTGGCCCCGAGCTTGGGATTGCTGCACCCGAGTCAGATGAGTCCTCCTGCCTCCCAAACGAAGAGTTGCCGGCAGATTTCTGCAGCTGTGAATCTTCGAGGTGGCTAACTCTCTGGGACATCTGCCCCACCAGAGCCAAGGGGTTCCCTTGCTCCTGGGAGTCAGTCGTGAGGTTGCTGGCAAACGGGACAGCTCCTTCCTGCAGGTGTACGGATCCTGAGGCATCAGGGAGAAAGTTGTCAGGAATTTCCGATATCTGGGAGGATTCCAGCTCAGTGAGGATTGTCCTGGAAATGACTGACAGGAACATATTGGGGGAAAAAATAAGTAACAGCACAGTGGAAGAGAAATGAAACCTTCATTCTGCAAAATCAACGCTTATTCACATTCCCCTCTCCTTCACCTCCTCAGTGGATACGGAACTGGGTGATCAGCAACCAAGGCAGCAGAGTTTAGATACATGATCACACACACAGCCTGGGAGTGCCATGCTGTTTGGGGGGGGGGGGGAAAAACGCCGAGGGGGCGCCGTGCGGTCGCGGGGTGGGGGGCAACGCTGAGGGAGCGCCGTGGGTTTGTCTGTACAAACTGTCCTGCACACAGTCACTGACAATAATATAGTACATAATATAGAAAAGGTACATGATTATTTAGGACACAGCTAGAATAGTGTGTGCAAGTTCTGGAATCCACATTCTAGGAGGGATGTGGTTGCTATGGACAGGAGATTTCTGAGAATGTTGCCTGGGCTGGAGAGCTTTTATTATGAAGACAGACTGTTTAACTTTAGAGCAGAGGAGACTGAGGAGAGGACATGATTGCAATGTATAAAATGATGATGGTAGACAGGAAGAAATTTTCTCCTGGGTGAAGAGATCAATGACTGGGGGCAGGAAGTTTAGAGGAGATGTAAGGAAACTTGTTTTCACTCAGATGGTGGTGGGAATCTGGAACTCTCTGTAAGGGTGGTAGAGACAAATACCCTCTTAATATTGATGTTTTTAGATGTACACTCACAATGCCAGAGCACACGAAGGCTATAGACCAAGTGCTGGAAAAGATAGGTGGCTGTTTTTGACTGGTGCAGACTCAATGGGCTGAAGGATGTTTTCCAGTCTCTATGATGACTCCTTACCTCCAGTGGGTTTGTAACCGTGTTTGTTGACTGGAGTCTCCAATTGGATCAGGTTGTAACTGGGAAACACCAGCAGGACCAGGGAGAAGGTAAGAATCTGAGAGAGTGAAAGGAAACACAGGGAGTGATGCTGCTGCCTGACTGTACTCAATGATCAGATTCAGAAACAGTCATCATACTGGAGAGAAATTGCAGTGTCAGATTGTGAAGCAGTATCATCTAACTGTACAGAACTCAGGCTCTTGTACAAATCAACTTCACTCCCTATCTGGGTCACCCCCCCTCCCCGTGTCTCTGTCACCCCCCTCAGCATTCCCCAGTGCTATTGCTCTGCCAATGGTGGTCATGCCTTCAGCTGACTGAGGCTTTAAGCCTTGGAAATTTCTGCAATAAATCACCTGCTTCTCTCTCTGTGTATCCGCTATGAATACAATGTAAAACCAACCACTATGACCATGTGTCTGATCAGCTGACACATTTTCTGAAGAAGGGTCCTGACCTGAAACGTCAACTTTCCTGCTCCTCTAATGCTGCCTGGCCTGCTGTGTTCCCCCAGCTCCACACTGTGTTATCTGTAACTCCAGCATCGGCAGTTCCTACTATCTCTGAGCTGACATAGTACATGCCTCTGTGCCTCGCTGTGAGATACTTCTTGCTTACCCTGCCGAGAAGCACCTTCGGATGGTTTGTTCTGTCGAAGGTACTACACAAATGCAGGTTGTTTGTGAAACATTTGGAGTCAGTGTCTCAGAGGAGAGAGGACAAGCTGGGTGGACCCCTGTGCCCTGAGAGGTAGTCTGGTCTGAAACTGGCCTCAAAGCAACAGTAGGTAACAGAGTGCCAGCCGGCTATTTGACTGTATGAGGAATCAGTGTCCAGGACAACTGGACCCCCTCAGACACCCACAGTTTGTGGGGGCAGGGAGGGAGTTCCAGCTCGACACTGGACGACTGAGCCCCTCCTGTGGGATCGTGCTGTGTAGCTGATACTCACCAGGATGCAGGTACTGGTCTGTGCTGCTTTGTTTGACGTTTCTTTGATCACAGACTGTAATCTGCGGAGCTGACTCAACAGAGAGCTGGAGGGAGAGGGAGGAAAACAGCAGAGATTAACTTGAGTGCTAAGGGAGCGCCGCACTGTC